TAAACATTTTTATAATTATCTAAAAAAAATTGTCTTTGTATATACACACTAATTTGAAGTTTCATAACAATTGGTAGTCTTAATAAGTAGGAATCAAAAGAATAATGTTTTAAAACAAGCAGATGCCCAGAGAGTATGATCAATGTATGAGCTACGATGTAGGTAATTGGGTCAAATAGGGGTCAAGGCTCTAGCAGGGGTCGTTCGACAGATTATTCTCTCCCGCACCTTGCATATCATTGATTTATTACACAAACCTACCCTCACTTAAAGTATCAGTAAAACAACGTTACGATAAAATGTTCAAAGAAAAATAAAATGTTTTCTCTTATAAGCTTGTACGAAATATGTAAATGTGGTTAAACAACATCCTTGTACCCGTCTCTTACACAAACTTATGAGAAAAGTGGAGATAAATCGAATAACTGTCACGGCTGGGAGGCTTGTGATCCGAAAATAGCTCGGGGAACATCGTGTGGACAGCTTTGTGCTTATGTAAAGTACTGACAACGTTTGTGCATGTATTTGTAACCGATACAAGCAACATTCTAGAGCGCTACCTCCTCCGCGCGCTTTGATTTATTCACGAGGAAAATCTCAACATCTCCCAAATTCAATCAAACTTCAAAACAAGGGGGTGAAAAGTTTTTTATCTCATCAGGATAATCATAAACGCTTGGCATTATATAAGTACATTAAATTGTGATTCATATTTCAGATTGCTAGCAATAAAGACAGATTTGTTTGTGTGTAGACTTTTGACAGGCTGCGCGGGCATCGTGCGCGCGCACCTCTCCGCCATCTTGGCTTTCCATCCCATTCCCATTTCAATAGAGGAGGGAGCTCGTAACAGCTGTGAGCGTGAAACACAGCACTTCCCTAACAAGGGGTTACTTTTTTAAACAATTGAATTGTAAAAGGACTTCTAAACGCACAGTTTATGAGACAGAAGGAGGAGTACACGTTCTGTTCACGATAGTGTCACCGATTAAAACAGTGAGTTACGAAATAACATTACCAAATTATCGATTTTGTATGTTTCGAATCGACAAACCTGGTGGCACCGTGCTTGAGGGTGTTTGTTCATATTGTTTTAGAAAGACAATCGAGTGTTGCATAGTCTGGAAAATAGGAAGGAAAAATCGATAGAAGTATAATTTGCCCCCGCTGTTGTGAATGTGAAGGGAGATAGTTGCAGCCGTGTCCCCCGTGAAGTAGCTTGGTGCCGCGCGACTGATAAAAATAATAGTGATAGGCGCCCCTGACGTCCCTTACTCGGGTTGATATACGAAGACTGATAAAAGGTGCGTATCGATATTTGTTATGCTTTTTACTGTTATCAGCCAGCAATCTTTACCATTGTCAATGGTTTCTATGTATTTTATTGATTACTGCTATTGCATATTAGAACTAGCGCAGATCGCCAAAGGACATTGGTTTCATAAACGCTTTCAGTTTGACATCTCTACACAAGCTCTACTGCAAATATGTTTAATATAAATAAACATAATGTAAGCATACATTTTATAATAAAGTATCTATTGTAAATAATACATGAACAAGGTAACTAACTACATGACAGAAGGTTGATGTTCAACGTAAAGAAATAATCCCTAGGGACCTCCCTCGGGCAAACAAACACGTAGGCGTTTACATCCATAAAACTACTCGCCCTTAATACTAAGTGAAGTCAATTATTTTTAATCTGTAGCACAGTTTATGCTCTGTAATACACATCACGCGAATGAATCGGGATTAGTTTTATTCGATTAGCTGTTATTCATTCATGATACCTATTCATATCATGAATGATGTAGTCATGAATGCCTATTATTTTGTCATTAACAAAAATTGTTTATGATTCCATATTTGAATTAAATACAAAAGTCTAGGGTTGCATGTAAGTAAAAAAATAAGTTAAAATAGCTTAATTAATTACCCTAATTACTCGTATCCCTCGATGATCAATTTGAACTAAATTAATATGTCACTGTTTTTAATGACCAACCAGTTAGTCTAATAGATGTCTAGTTGGTTGATAGGTCGCAAGAGCGACTGTCGATGATCGAGTCTAGGGTTCGATTTGAATTGGGCAAAGCACAGGACTGAGTCTCGAATGGGGACCAGGGCATGGTGAAACGTTAAGCCAAAATGAAATGTCTTATAATATTACTAATGAAACTCTACACACTGGCATTGCACACTACACTTCTTTTTGGGGATAAAGTGATGTGACGTTTAGGTTCGTTATAACTGCTTTTTGAAATTAAAAAATAATTGAATATCCACGTCATGATAAAACAATTAAAACACGTTACACCCATAAAAGTATCAGAATATTATACAGTGCGAGGTAAAATTAAGAGAGATATTAAATTGTACTTTCCTGAGAATAAAAACATGATACCTCCCAGCTTCCCAACAGTACGTGGTTACTAAGAGAAATGGGTCATTAAGTTATTTATAGGCGTGGTTCTTTGAACAAAGTAATATTATAAGATAGGTAACTATGAGTAGGCGAACCTAGTTGAGGAAAATTTACATAAAGCTCGCACTCGAGACAAGAGTTTTATTGAAAGGTAAATTATTAATATTTGAACATTCCCCCTTGTTATATATGGGACTCATGACATAACTTATGGGAAATACCTAATTATCTAGATTTTCAGGGAATAAAAAGCGTAGTGCTATGAACGCTAAGAAACACCAAACAAAGACTCAGATTTTGATGTCCTTAAAGTTGTTAAAACTAGGGCAGGTATATCTGTAATATTTGAAAAGTTCATTTTGACAAATTCCAGGGGACTGATGGATAGTTAATTCTCGTTGCATTCAATTTAATTTAACCAAGTACACTTTATATTCCCCGCACTTTTTTGATAGAGTCAAATTACAAATCTTATACATCAAAGTTTAATCATATCAACAGTATTCCCACAAGGCTAACTCTTGAATTCATGATCAATCAATAAATCGAATATTGGCACAAAACTTTGCAAACACTCTCAGATTGAAAATTGTGTTTGATTGAACAAAATAAAATATTTTTATTACAAGAGAGAATTGCTAAAGTACCTATAGTTTTGATATTATGTCGACCTTTCACATTAAAGATATTCTTTTTACACACTTGTGTATAGATACTTACCTATTATGATTTATTCCAGTGTGATGAAATTAAAGGTGAGTTGTATTTGGAATATGATTTAAGGGAACGATTGCCATAACATTGTGTCATACTTTGTAAACAATAGTTCACATTACTAAATATAGTAACTCAACTAAAAATGTACTGGGGATAAAGATTAGTCAATAAAATCCATTCATATGACGTCATAGGCGAAATCCCCTAATCGCTTTTACAATTCTCGCCCACTGGCAGGGCTGTGGGGCTTATCCTTGGCTGGGAGCAACTCGATAGCTTTTCGTACACACATGTCACTAAATGCCCAGTGCCGGCCATATAAAATACATACGACACTTTACTACCATAAGTGGCTACAAACGGTATTAACACATCATGAATTTATGGTTTTCCACCACGAAGTAAAAGTTCTGAATAAAATATGGCTGCCTGCATACCTACCCTAGTACTGATACCTTCACTCAGTTGCTACAAACTTTCAGAGAATCTGATTTATCTCGTTGAAGTATGTACGTTCGAGGAAATTTGTTCTAGATTATTCGAGATATTTGTTATTGACTGCGTTTTACTCACGCTTCCCTTCGTTGAGAGTTCTTCGTGTATCTGAGAAACTAGGTGACTTAGCTATGATAATATATTTTATGGGATTTTGCATATTGTTATTACATAACTTTCTCATAACTGTTATCTTTATTCTGGGTACGTAATAAACTTGAATCTTGGTCTTATAACTTTAGAACTACCAAACAGGCATAAATAAAATTTCTTAGTTTCATGTCATCTCTAACAAGTCACCACACAGTGGCTTTAATTGAAGGGCGTACAAAGGACCACCCACGCGTTATCTTATTGATGTCATAACATCCACTTAATAGACGTAGATGAAATCATCTCAGTAGGGTAGTGACGCCAACTCAGTCTTGAATAAAACCTATACTTATTTGAATATTACTGCTTCACACCACATTGAACGACGAAACCAAGGAGAAAATGCTTGAATTATAGATCTCTCTTTGTACGAGGAATGCTCTAAAAGATGTTATTCACAGCAGAGCTTCAGAATGAGCTTTATATAATCAACTACTGTCTATTTTCTGTCGGATTTTTCAGTGCATTTTACTCGTAGTTTTTTGTTCGTGGCTCATTCCAGTTCGTCCTGGTTTCTTTCAGCACTAATTGGCCTAGTCAGCCAATTAGAGTGGGAATTTCAAATCATTGAGTCAAGTATTTAGAAAATTCAACTCCATGTTAGTAAATGAGTTAACTAGGCCAATTACGCCATACTTTTATGTCAATGATTGGCTGATAACTAACTCTAAATTGCGCTTATCTCTCGCGCAACTTGACTCTGTCTAGGACACACTAAAATTGCCCTATCGGTAGGATGTGCCGATACGGTGGCATTATCTAAAAGTCATTTTTGTTTCCCGGCTTCGAATAATTTAATGACAGAGGCCAAACTAAAACAAACGGTATTGTAAACGAAATTAAGTTTGATTTCGCATTTCATGGAAATTACTGATAAGACTTTTCGATGACTCAATGATGTTAAGCTAATGTGGGCTTACTTGTATGTTGGTACCTATAGTAGCAAAGTCGAGTTTTGCTAATCAATACTACGTATGGGAAACGTATCGTGTTTTGCATTTGCGATATATTTGTTAGTGCATTAAAGCGATGTGGCTGTGTTAGTAGTGACGATAGACAATTTTAACATTTTTATAATGGAGACAATTCACGAAAATTCGAATAATAATGTAGAAGATGAGGATGATGTACTATCGACATTTACGTAGAATATAGTTTGAAGTAAACATGTCGCAGTTAAAATATAATAAATTGTTTTGTACAACAGATGACTGGAGATGCAAAATGGCAGAAGGACGCGGCGGATCAGAACTTCGACTACATGTTCAAGCTGCTCATCATAGGAAACAGTTCCGTAGGAAAAACGAGGTGAATATAATTTTGTTTTACTCTCTAGTCTAGTCACAGCATTCCAAGTAGATTTAGGCGCAATTTTTTTAAACAATATTTTGTAAACTACTCATAAACAGTAAATAAACCAACAAATAAGCTTAGGTACAACTTTTGTGAATACTAAGTTCTAAAAACTGATCCATTAAACTACAGGGGCTCTGTTTTTATAATAACTGTCGTGAGACATACTGAATTAGTTAGTAGAGCTTTTCTCTAACTCGCTATTTTTACTGTATTATCTAAACAATAATAATGTTTTTTTACTAAACAATCGAAGTCTAGACAAAATAATATTAATGATTAAAACAGAAGAACTCATCAGGCCAATCATAAAGTCCAATACCGATTCAATGTCAAAAATTACACAGATAACGACTATGGTATCTAATTCAACACTTATAAAATGACGTCATTGGTAACTCGGTTAGAACATTTAACAAATACTTTTGTGTTTGGCTTCCAAAGTAAAGAAATGTCCGGTTGGTCAGATAATGTGCTGTTGGTTTCTCAATATGCGTAACTCTTGGCTTGGGTGTCGACGTCTGGAATTGTGCCCGGGATATATATGAAACTAGCCACCCGCCTCGGCTTCGCAAGGGTGCAATATGCATATATTATACATAATATAAACCTTACTTGAGAATCAATCTATCTATTAAAAAACCGCATCAAAATCCGTTGGATATTTTTAAAGATCTAAGCATACATAGGAACAAACAGACGGCGGATAGCGCCTTTGTTTTATACTATGTAGTGATGATATTTATTTCTATAATTTATATTATGGTATGAAATAGCACTCGTATAGGTTAATATTTTATAGTTACCTAGATGAGAACCTTATTTGTTATCTGACTGCGCTAAGAAGGAACACTGACACAGTCTCTTTAAAAGTCCTCTAGTAAACAGTACTACACCTCTTATATATATACATGAAACTGTCACTATAACCATTTAAAAGTAAATGTTACACAAACATGTGCCTGGGTGAATTTCAACAAATGCCATTTTTCTTATCATATCGGTGAACTTTTTCATTTATATATATTTTTTATTTTTTTCATGTTTAATGTAATATTTAGGATACTAAATACTCCCTTATTGGTAACCATCAACGTATCTTTTAAGACTATGGAGAAAATTCAGTTTGAATTCTGGTTTCCACCGATGTGACAATCCGGCACCGATTATCTTTTCTGTACACCGATATGATAAATTTATTCACCGATGTGATATACATATACAGCGATATGATAATCTATCCACCTTTGAACATCAAAAAAGAAATAGTAGGCTTATACATTTTTGAAGGAGTGACTAAGAACTGAATACCTGAACTAAGGGTATTATTTTCTTAGAATAAAAAATAATGTTTTTTTTTATTATCATTGTGTTTATTTAAAAGTAGTATAAAAAACAATAATTTCTTGTACGTTATTGTACAATACACATTTATTAATGTGGCGATCAAGCTAATTGTTTTGCCATGTGTACACTTAAAACATTGTGGCGTTCTAGGTTCAACAATACTAAGAATAGAAACTTTATATAAGAAAACTTTATATACCTAATTAATCAGCCTTTTAAGTTTAACCTTAATCATAACAACACTACAATAATCACAGCTTTAATTATCACTTAATTTAATATTTTTAAAATCTTTGTTCTCAGTGCGTAAGTATCATAGATTACATAGAGATCGCTTATATCTTACATCTAGCAAATAATCTTTACCCAAAAAAAAAAACTTAAATTAAATCTGTCAGTATAATTTGGTTATTATGTTAATCAGCCTTTAAGTTCAACATAAATCACTACAGAACTTGAACCGTCTTCGTACTCCACTTTTATTAAATTGCACCATAATTAGACTTTTAAGTCATAGAAGACTATGTAGTATACCTATAGTTAATCACAGCACTTAATTACGTACTTTTATAATTATTATCTGTTACAACAATTAAACCTTTTTTTTTCAATTAAAACTAAAAACAATAAAAATAAAAATTTTAAAAACAAATCAGCCCAGATCAAAATAAGTCATCATCAGTGTCACTGCAACCAAATATATAATTAAATCTCTGTTTGATGTCAGGAGTTGGTTTACGTGGCTCATTTTTTTCTTTTTTAAAGTTAATTTTAGATTTTATTCTAAATATTTCCTCATCGGTGTCACTGTCTTCCACGGTAGGACTTGAAAATCTATTAGATGCTTTTACCGTATCCTCTTTATTTACGAATTGAGTTGATTCCTCTAAACCAACTAAAATGTTCGTGTCAATTTTCTCTAAAAATGAACAGGCAGGAGTACTTTGATCAAGATCTACATAGTTCAATAGCAAATTTTCAGACATTTTTGTCGAAGAGGATGATCTGGGTGCCGCATTTTCCGAGATTTTTAATGTATTTGATGGTGTAAAATACTTTGAATGTGATGGCTGTGGGAACAAAATTAATTTGTCAGTTAACTTTACTGGTCGCATTTTAGTGATATCTATTTTGGATTTAGTTCTGGATTTTTTATTACTCGAAGTAGAAAGTTGAGGTTTAGACTTAATTTCGTGTTCGGTTGACAAATTGTGGAAGTCTAGATGTTTGCCATGTGGACATTTAACAACATATTTCATACATTCATCTTCTATACAAGAAAGTCGACGTAAAACTATACGATTTTTAGCTTCTTTAGTCCAAATGACTTGTTTGACTTGCAATGTTCCACGAAATGTGTTCAAATTTGTAGGGAGAAGCCAGTCCTTTTCTTCAACTTCATATTCTTCTACAGTACTAATTTTCACGCCTTGGACAGCAGATTTTAAATAGTTTACAAAAGAGTCTATATTATTCATATCACCATCGTGTGCAACAAATCGATCCGCCGTTCGCTTCAGTAGCCCACCTACTCCATCTGGCGCACCTTTTCCATGACCACATTCACTATAGTTCCATATTATGTTAGTCAGAGAAGAGCAGTAAATACTGAGTTGGGACATAATATAAAAAATTTTCTTATTCCGATACTGGCCTGATGGAGAATCAGAAATAATAATAAGATTCTGAACAATTGGAGCTTCCTGTTTAATTTCTTCTAATATTGGAACAAGGTGAGCCCAAACGGCGGCAGCATCATGGCGCAGTGAAGAACTAATAGTGCAGAAACATTGAGTTGTTATATTCTCTTCCTTATTTTTATAGTAAATTACAGCAGTGTGTAATGTGAATTGTTGACGACTGCCACCAAAGTGCATAGATTGTATTTCGGACCCGTACTTGGAGCTATAGTTCTCACTAAAGTCAATGTGAACGACACAATCCTTTTCAGTCATGTTTTGTTTGTAGTGCTTAAAAGCTTGACTTTGATTTCGTATATTACTACAATGTGTTAAGAACGGTTTCAGATTGTTTTCAAATATTTTGATTAGTTGTAATGGTTTAATGGTTATTTTTACTTTTTCTACATTAACGGCTATTTTATCCACTCCATTTTTTTTGTAATTCTTTTTTATCTTCTTCCAATTCCAATAAATAACATCTTTGGAGTTATCAAATTCTTGATAATTTAAATGACGATTCTTACAGACAGGACAAGTTCTTTGCAGGCATTCTACCTTAAAAATATCACAGCAAATACTACTTAGAATTTCAGTCGTGGTGTTTTCTTTTATGATACGATTTCTTTTTAAAGATGATATAACAAGATCCATGTTCTCATGTTTCTCACATAGGCATGTATTTCTCAAGTTTAATTTTGGCTGCGTGACCCAAAACGGCCTCATTCTTGTAAAAGTGACATAACTGATTGGAGGGTAGCCCGAAGTCAAATACTTTTTGTGTAAATTTTTAATTGTGTCTTTCATCAGCCTTTTCTGTTTTTTTACTCCATTTTGTGTGACAGTATCCTTTTTACCTGGGCAAAGATTTGAATTTTCATCATCCTCAAAAAACTGAACAACAATCTTACGGATACGTTTTTGCAGGTCTATATTTTTTGGCTTCGTTGGGATTCTAAATTACTCTGTTTTAATTTCTTAAATTCTTGATGTAGTCTCATGTATCTCTTTTTGTACATTAGTTTCTCTTTATTAGCCTTTGCCAATTGTTTTCTTAAATCGTGTATTTGCTGAGTTTTAACGTTTTGATATTTACGAAATTTCATTTTAATGTCTTGTTTGAATTTAACAGTATTAAAGGATGTGTCTAAGTTAGGACTATTTGGGCGTAATGTTGATTCTTCTGAATTTATAGAACTAATACTTGGCGTTCGTAAAGGAGATGCTATTGATAAATCTAGGGGACTGCTTGTACGTAAATAGTGGGAACTACTCGCTACTATGGCATCAATACGCAAATTAGGACTATTACATCGAACATTCTGTCGCAATAGCCGTGGGCTATGAGGTCCTATTAGTTCTTGAGAAATACCGGGCTCATTATCTTGATTTTTCGGTAGCGATTCTGCGTCATTGGTCTCTGAAACACTTGTTGGGTTGTTGCGGGCACCATTTGCCTTATTTTTTTTCCGCTGATAATATGCACGGGCACTGATTCGGTTTTTCTTTTGTGCATTGCGACGTGCATGTGCAGTCATTTGGCTTCGGGTTAGGATAAGTCCAGCTGCCTTTCTTTTAGCTAAGCGTTCTCTGTCTTTTCTTAAATGCTGCTCTCTTAACACAGGATCACTTTTGATTTTAGCTTTTCTTATTCTTTCCATCAACCTCTTTCTCTTTTTCTCCTCCTCGTTTAGTTTTGATTTCAGCATTCTTAAACAAAATTAATCTTAAACAAAATTACTCGAACGAATTGTGTGCGGCACGAGCTGCACACAAGTTAATATTTATGAAAGTTAAAAAATATAATATGTGTATATGTATGTATAATGTATGGTTGTAGGTATGCTCCATTGTTTTTTTGTTTACTTTAATGAAATGACACTATGTCTACCAATATGATAAAATTACACCGAGGTGATAATATGATCTACCGATGTGATAAAACAATCCACCGATGTGACAAAACTATGCGTCGATCATGAATCAAAACACCGATATGATATTTAAGACACCGATTGATTTTTCTTATCACATCGGTGTAAATTATCACATCGGTGGTAAAAAAGACCACCGATTACAGCGATATGAGAACAGCGACGTGAGAAATTATCGACTTTTTTGAAAATTATGAAAAATGTATAATATTTAGGCTAAATTCAAGTACCTATAATGATGCTAATTTACTTACTATGTCTGTTAGAACCAAACAATCGTAATAAAACTTCACATTACACTAGAAAAATGCAACCACCGATAATATAAAATAATTGCTTGGAAGTAACTGAAATGTCGTACTTACGTAATTGGCGGGAATATGCAGCGATTTGACACACGTCCGTCCTGACTGCGCACTAGCACACACTAACGAGGGAAATAAAATTGGGGTGGGGACACTGTCGGACTCATCGATGCAAAGTTAGGTTTAAATTACTTTTGTGCAGCGATATGACAAAATTTTGCGAGACAAGTACATTTATGCCTCTCAGTAATAAATATTATGAATTACGTAATAAAATATGCTACATATTAATAATAAAACTAATATTCTATGAAATAGAATAAGTTATATTCTTAAGTTACTTATTTTTATAACGATATAAGCGTTTTTGCTTGTAAAAAAAGTAGAGGGACAGCACCGATGTGACAAAAATAGAGGTTTATGTATTTATTTCTACCTTTGTAAATAGACTTAGACAAATAATATTTTATGCCACAACCCAATAAATACCTAATGAATACAAAAAAAATAGTACAGAACAATATTCCTTTTTTCAAATACTAATTTCAATGAAGACAAAAAAAAAAGTCGTTTGGGAAATTCACCCGCCTAATCCTTCAGGCAATAAAAATCACTTTAGCAAAATTTTAATGAAAAATTTACATAAGCTCAATTAGGTTTCTATTTTTTAGCTTGTTGGTTTTGACGTTTTAATTTAAAACGGTCTGCTCTAAAAATACCGTCGCCTAACAATGTAGCTGTTATATAAAAGTACATTGTATCATTTGAAGGGTCGTACGGATTCTTTTGATATCCCTCATCCTACGGCCATTGTTACAACGTTGCCTATAAGAGATACTTATATTTACCTATTAATTTATACGTTATAATGTGATACTGAATATGTTTTATTAGCTAAGAACGTTTTTAAATGGTTAATTTGGAAAAGGTTATTTTAGGGATGATAGATGCACTAATAAACGTTTTTTATATCAGTAGAGTATTTGTTAGCAGTTTAATGTGTATAGTATTAATACCCAATTATTAGCCTACTTACTAGTATTTTTATATTTTAAAAAATCATTGGACTATTTCCTAAAAATATAGGGCGTGCTTATCGGATGCGAAACTTTTAAAATTATGGCGGAACTGTAAATACTTTAGGGTCACTTTTATGACTTCAGTTTGTAATTACTTTCGTGTTTTTAAAACAAAAATAAAGCTGGCATAAAGAGAAGGATTTCTTTCTACGCTGATCAAATACCTACTTGATTTTTTATATTCTTTGAATATGAAAAAATGTAATTACGAATTGAGATAAAGAATCACAAAATAAAATCGTCTAATCTCAACAGATTAGGTACTGTTTCTGTATCATTTAAGTTATCTTATTTCATTGTACTTGTAACTAAAGTGTATAAGTAGTATCTTTGAGAAAATTACTAAAAAAAACTTATCACAATAATTAAAGTTACTATTTATTACTTTGAAAGAAAATATTTTAATACCAGATCTATACAATATGCAAGAGCCGATCTTTTAAAACAATCCTCAAATGGACAACCTAAAACTATCTTTAATTCCAAATCATAAAAACCATTTTTCTAAATAACAATACTTATTTCAATAATTCCAGCTTCTTGTTCCGTTACGCGGACGACTCGTTCACTTCAGCCTTCGTGTCCACCGTCGGCATAGACTTCAAGGTGAAGACAGTGTTCCGTCACGATAAGCGCGTAAAACTACAGATATGGGTGAGTAACTACCAATTAATTATATTATACAAAGTGGGGACCCGCATACGACATCGATTTTTCTTGGAAAACTGCCAATATTGTCTTTATGTAGTCTTAAAGTGTCGTTTCACAAGTTCCAAGTTTTTAACTGTGTCATTCTTTATGTTCGCTAAGGACATAAGTAAATTTTGTTTGCTCATAGTCAAATTAGACATGTAGCGTTCCGAGCGCTCCTCAAAGAGCCATCAGACCACCACAGATGGGGCCCAATATGGCTAATGCCTATACGGAGCTGGGGAGGACTTAACGGGTTGACGGAGCTACGGCTCGAAGTGTAGGAGTAAGAACGGGGTAGTTTTTAGTCAGTAAGAGTCTGATACTCCCACTCGCCTCACCCGGGTGGGAGAAGTCATTGGATGATTTACCTACACCGAAAAAAAAAACTTTGTATGGAACGTTTCTTTTTTAAATTATTATTTATGAACCTACCTCTTTGATTCATTGCAAAAAAGTTGTGAGCCATCCTCCAATAAGTATTCACACATTTAACACGAAACAAAGTTATATAACACTGCTAATTTAGGTTGACCATCTAATGGCACCTAAATTGTCTCTATTAAAATAACAATGTAGTCACAGGCTTTTAACATTTAGTTGGGGTTACGATATGGAAAATTGTAACGGGTTTAGATACACGTACATATATGAGGGCCCAATTTAAGGGACATTGTAAAAATAGAAAGGAGTTTTTTGAAGAGCACCCTTTTTAGCAAATATAGCAACGTACAAAATATAACGGTTAAAGTAATCGGCCTATCGCCGTCAAGCCACATTGAGTCGTTTTCCTCAATTGCCTCTTACCTCTTAAGGAGGATCGTATTTAATTAGTCTGTACTTTTCCTTTCGCTCGAGATTACTAAGATACAAGATACAAGGTTGAAACGTGTCAGCAGCATACTTATTTATGACCCCGGAGAAATATCTAGTAGACGAAGGATGTAATGAAAAAGGTGGCCTTTTCCTTCTTGATGCCTTAAGCTCTTTTACGGAATATCTGGTTAAGACGCTATTAAACCTTTCTTTAATAGCCTTTTTTCAACAGTTTCAACGTTTTGCTATAAAAGTAACTACATAGGTTGACGTACAATACATAAATGATATTGTTTACTTCCATTATTTTGGAAAAACGTAGGTTTTTTTCTAAAATAACAACGCTAAAATAATAAGTTGGACATTTTTGGAGATGTTAGAAAAAACAACAACTTTTTGGCTAAACGAGGAAGTTATTAAAGTATGATAAAGTTCAACCGCTCTCACACAAGGCTATAATGAAATTTCACGCGAGTACCAACATAATGAAATTTTATTGAAACGAAAGAGGTTCTAGCAGCCGAATAAAAGTATAACACGATTTCTTCGTTGAACTCTCTTCTCTCGCGAATGGCTTGTGACGTCACTCTACATTATGTACAAATTGAATTAATTGTATATCTACACCTACATACAAAGTTAGATTTGTATTTCTGTAGAAATCGTATCGTAAGAATTTATTTATTATGTTTGCTTTAGAAATAGGGTAAATTAATCACTGTAGAGGCGTTGAAGCGATTATATCAGAAAGCTATAGAATTTTCAATTGTTAAACTTTCCAGCTCTTACTTGTACCTATACAATGCGCCGTGTTGTGTCTCAATGAATGTGGTAATTATTTAAAACGCACGTAACGCATTTTAATGTTCATATGAGTGATTGATTTATTGCAGGACACTGCTGGACAGGAGCGCTACCGCACTATCACCACTGCATATTATAGAGGCGCTATGGGCTTCATCCTAATGTACGACATCACCAACGAAGAGAGCTTCAACAGCGTGCAAGATTGGTAAGTTGGTAAAGTAGACGAACAAAATTGTGTCCTACGACCTAAGGATTATGATTTAATTTCTGTGGCCATGTAATTAGCTTGAGTGATGAACGGCGACTTATCAAAAGTGCATCTACTTGGATTTTATTTTAAAATTTGACCTAGATAGTTTGATTCCAAAATTCGATCTAATACTGTTCGATTCACATTGTGTCCTTTTGAGATTCATGTTACTCGTCGAAACATTTATTATACCAATCGTAACTATATGCTCTTGAAATAGTATCGTAAAAGCAGAAAATAAGTACCTTACTCAACTTTCAACTGTTTGTCCCGAAATAACCCTGTTCAAAACAACAAGGAGACAACGATCAGAATAGTTCACTCCCGCTCTCAATGGCGCCGTAATAAAAAGTTGATCGTAAAGGGAAAATATAGCTGCCTGCCACCGAGGACGGGTGGCCGGATTTTCCTCAATTTCCTTAGGATTATGTTACGACAGGACATGGACATTCAACTTTTGGCAAGTCAATTTCTTGTTTTTTTTTCGATCGAACCCGTCATAAAATAAGGCAATTAAATTATCCTAGAATTCATGGTTCAACATTCTTCTTTCAATTTCAATTCAGTTGTAAAATAGGGCCTATCATTTTCTTTGAGTTGTAAAATAAACCGATTCGCTGCGTGACGTCATCGCAGAACTAGAGGAGATGCTCTTAATTATGAGTCCCAGTGTAACTTAAAACTGGTAGAGCTGTTCTCGAACAGTTTACATTAGTAAACCATATGATCGATTTAAAAAATAATATTACGAATTACTTTGTTTACAGGGTGACACAGATTAAGACGTATTCATGGGACAATGCGCAAGTGATCCTCGTGGGTAATAAGTGCGATATGGAGGAGGAACGTGTGGTCAGCACTGAGCGTGGCATGCAACTCGCTGAACAACTGGGCGTCGAGTTCTACGAGACTAGTGCTAAGGAGAACATATACGTTAAGGTAATAGAAGCGTCTATTATACAAAAATAAAATATTTGATACCTCCTGTTTTTATGACATAAGTCGAAAGCACCAAGTTTTGTTGGGAGCGATTTAAAAGCGAAGATTAACAATAACAAGTTCACCGGGAAAATCAGAAAGAGACACACAAAACTACACACACGAATAGAAAATAATTCATTCAGCACTTGTTTCTAACAAAATTTATGTGTTCTCATCTCGAAGAGACTATCTGTATCTACAGACAAGGCCTAAAGCCCACGCATTAATTACATTAAAGCGAACTTACTTTGACCTTTTATTGTAGCCTCATATATCATGCCTAGATACTAAATTATGCATGACATACAGTTTTATGAAACAATAAAAATGGTAATGGTAATAAATGTTACGTTTTTCCAGGCTGTGTTCGAGCGGCTGGTGGATATCATTTGCGATAAAATGTCAGAGAGCCTGGATTCCGAACCAGCCATGCTGGCGGGCGGGGCTCGTGGCCAGCGTCTCACAGAGCAGCCACAGGGCAACTCCACCACCAACTGTAACTGTTAATGACTATACCGAGAATGTTCGCACTTTATGTTCCTTTACGTTTTAGAAAAATCTTTTAACGGGGTCGTTTGTTTCAAAAGCAAATAAGTTCGTTATGCAAATATTCTTCGCATATTAATTTTAAGTAAGAATTCTACTATACAATTGGCGAACCCCGAGTATACTTGACAAAGTATCTCAACCAACTATTTATGAGTTTTTATAAATTGTAATCTCTGGTTACTTGTTACAGTTTCATGCATAAATTTTAATTTAAGTAACAAAATTAAATAATTGTTAAAACATGTGTAACAATAAAAATATGTATTAGTATTATTAAATCTATAGGTGTTAGTTAGCTATCTACGTATTGCGAGCTGGAGTAGGGATCTGATACTTCTTTAGCTGTTAAATTTTATCTTTAATGAATTTGTGTCGTAAATTCGTTACAAATATGAATTTTAGTAGTAAATGTGTTACATTTTTTTATTTATGTTTCGTCATTTAGATATTATTTATAGTATTCGAGATTTACAACGAGATATTTTAATAAGGATTAATCTTCATTATAGTGATGTCCGAATATTATGCGCGATTATGATTTCTAAACTATACCAATCCCGAAATGTAATGTTACCATTTGGACCAAAGACAGATTAAAACATTTATTTACAAAAAGTTCAGAAGGCGCAAATATTGTAATAATGTTTAGTTAAATTTAAATTGTTATGAGGTGTAATATGTTTGGTGGTTTCGTACGTAGGTGCATGTTTTCCGCCTTTACATTGCTTCGTATTATCTGTGTGGATGTATCGCGACTACACTTAATAGAGTTGTTACTTCATTATCGGTAGATTAATTGATCAATGTTCGTTGTTATACTTTGGCGTAATCTTGAAGTTAATGTTATCTTCGGTGTATAACTTCATGTATGCTTCGATACCCCTTGGCCTGAATATGAAAGTTCGACTAATCAGGTATAATCTATTACCTAAAGTGTTTGTAAATACGTTTACCAAAATGTATAAATAAATAATTGTATAGTATTATATCTACCTACATATAAATCTGTTTGTATTCTTGTTACCTCCTATGCTATGTTAATATATAACTATAGGTGTTTATTTCATCACTACGTTTAGGAAGTAAGTAAGTTCCATACTGTTTTTGTTTCAATGCATCACTCGTGTCCCGTACTTACGAGAAGCGAGTATCTTTTTAAAGTATTCATAGTGTCCGCCATGATTGTATCGGCACTATATCTATATCTGTAGACGACATAGACAATACAATTTATATCAAATTCTGTTGAGACATGAGCACATTATTTTTTTAGGATCTAATAATTAGGTAAATTAGTTAAGATATATCGTATCGACGTCTGTTCGATGAAATATAAACTTATATACGTACACAATTTATTACAATAATGATGTATCTAAATCAGTGACTCGTACGTTCATTGCTTCTTCGAAACATTAAAACTTTACAAATACATATTATGAAAAAAATACTTATGACGCCAAATTTATGAATACGACTATTATAATATCGGAAACTACAATTGTATTGTACTATAAGTAACTACTTTGATGAACATATTTTGATGGAATTTGTCTCTAGACTTCGTAAAAGCTGGCTTACCTTGCTCCTGCTGTGTTTCATTAATTGCAATAACTATACTGCAATTAGACTAAAAAAGCTTCCTTTAAAATAACCTTGACATTATATTTCTAAAATAATATCAAATTATCGGTCTATATATTCGTAAAATGATTATAAAGTCAATTTGACGAAATCAATTAAGAGCATTCTGTGGACCCAAAGTCACTTGATATAAAATTGTGTTAAATACTAAAAGAGGATGTTTAATAGCTGTTTAGGACATGGGAACCGCATAGTTACGATACATTTTAAATCAATACTCGAAAATGTAAGATATCGAGTAAGTATATATTATTGAAATTGAATATCTGAATTGCGGGATATGTGTAAAAAATCCTGTCAATGCGCTCAAAAGCACGGAATTTAATAAATAATATATTATGTATGTATATGAGAAGGCGTGTCCCATGTCTAGTGAGTATATTATGTACTGGAAGGCGTATGTAGAGGTATATGTAACTAGCAGTGTGTGTGAGCGCCTTAGGGCGTGGGAAGGCATATCGTAGTGACGGGCTTTAGTAGCATATGTTTAGCATTTTGCGTAGTTCCTTACACTGTTTTTATACTTATTTTCTAATACACAGATGTTTAAATATCCGATGTCTAAATATTCGCTAAACTGCATTCGATGTTTCATTGTCATTCCAAATTGTTGGCTCACAAAACTGAAATTGTAATCGATTAGCTGTATTGGTATAATGTATGTTATATTATTGTTGTGTGTTAATAAAGGAATTATTTAAAAATACACCCATGTAAAGATTCACGAATATAATATATATTATAAAATATTATTTGTGTGTGTTGTTTTTTTTTTGCTTGAGTTTATCGTGTGATTATAAAAACCTTATGAAAATTTTGCAAAAGAACTTTTAAAGGGATTACTTTATTTAACAATGTATGGGATAAACGGAGGTAGATATTAAACAAATGAGTATAATTACGATAAGAAAAAATACATAATAAGTTTTTTTCGCGTTTTCTATGAAGAAAACATTTAAAATTTTGCCAAAGCAAGCTTAAGAACTAAATAACTCTAGCAAAGCCTTACCCTTACCTGAAAGATTCAGTAATCATATTTCTAGTTAATCAATTCAAAATCTTTAAGGGTATCCTAAATTTTGTTTTAATGTTCGTCTGATAGACTATTTTAGAACATTACACACGTATTTTTTCTTTTCTTACAAAATTAAATACTTTCATCGATATATTGATTTCAAATATCGTGTGACGTCACGATTTACTATATTTTATAGAGTAACGTGACGTAACGACCTCCCACTCCTAAACTTAACTTCGTTTTATCTAATTATTGTTTTCTTATAGTACGACAAAATAAAAAAATGTGTCTAATATTTTTTCATTATCTAGCTGACGGACTAATTATTTTTTAATTTTCATACACTGGCTACTATTACTATACTACCCTATTATTGTATGCGCATATTAAAATGTTAATAGTTATTAAAAAGTTCATCATTACATACCCATGTGGCTTGATTATGTAAAAAAAGGACACAAGTCGAATATTTATAATATTTGATACCTTCCGATAAAATAATACATAAACTGACAATATGTTTTTTATATTTGATATTTTATTATACCAAAAGTCTATTTCACTGTTATTAATATTAGGTATTCTATTTGTAGTTCTGTATCTATCATGTAAATTACGTACCTACAATATCTAATTACGTAAGAAGAAACAATACCTGCACAGAACAAATTCTTTGGTGCATTATAAAATGTTCCAAAAGCGACTTTAAGTTGCACATTTTATTTTGAAAGAAATATCAATTCTAACTTAGAACAACGCCAGCTATGTTACGAACATAAGTTACGGCATCTAACTTACATTAAATTGGCGCTTTGAAGAGCATCAGGCGTCATAACACTTGCAGTTTTCCTAAAACGATAATAGATGGCGTTGTTACAAAAGTGTAGTAAAAGATTGTAAGCGGTGTTCTGAGAAAACTTTTGTCGAAGCTTTCTTTGGTTACCTTGTTTGGTACTTATCTACATTTCGTTGAGAAGTTTTGTTTCTACAAACAAAGATATTCGGACCCAACATTTCTTTTATTTATTGCTTTTCCAAACAACTTTAAGCATTTCATTCTTGATTTCGGGATTGTTTGAGTAGGTATCTGGGTTTTATTTAACATTTTTGAGTTATATGTACAAATATTTATATAGATACATAGAATAGTAACATTAATTTTATATCCTGAGTCAACTAAGAGCATGTTGATAAAAAATATAAATTTGAAAAAAGAATATTTTCAAAAAAGGCTGATATTGATTGCCTAGCTGAAAATAACTTTTAACATTTTATTATTATCTTTATTAATTTAGAGTATTTTGGTCACACAAAGACCATACCAGACCCAACATTCCCTAAACATATTTAACAAAACTTACATTAACTAAAATACTAGATACTCTTATTTACTATTTTATACTATCATGGTAGATGCTTTGGATAAGGACTGTGATAATATACTACGAAAAACGTCAACTTTAATAAATTAATTCTAAACACAAGTTCCAAGGTCTCTCTCCCAGCCCTCGTCCTGATACATTCGACCAGTAAGTCGTGAACATCCTCCATAGTGCCACGTTCTAGATACATATAATCACACAGCAATTTATTTGTTTCCCAATGGCCGATCAATCTGCAGGTGCTTAACTACACATAGTGCGGTCATTAACTAGATGGGTTCCCTTCGATCCTTGGTCAAGTGTAATTGACCCGGATCCGTGGTAATGGTTCCAATGAGGAGAGTGATTATTTCAGTAACATCACGCCTTTTATTCCCGAAGGGGTAGGCAGAGGTGCACATTATGCCACTGTACAATGTAACACCCACCTTTCACTATTTATTTTATGAGTCCCATGTAATAGGAGGTGAGCCTATTGCCATATACCGGGCACAATTCCTGACTCCGTACTATTACTGAGATTTTTTTAAAAAACCGAGTAATACTTTGCCCGACCCGTGAATCGAACCCGAGACCCCTTGCCTGGCCGTCGCACTTGCGACCACTTGGCCAACGAGGCAGTGATTATTTTAATCTTTACATTAAACAGTTGAGTTTTTTGCACGAATAAGTTAAACATTAACTTCCATCCAGTTAAAAATTCAAGGCTATTGTCATGTTGATAATGTGATCATCTTTTAACAGTATGCTCAAACAAATGGTTAAGAAATTATCTTAGCGTTGTGTGTTAAAAGTTATCGGTACCGCTTTTTATTACTTACTCTCAATACCAAACAGCAGTGCTAAATGTAAAATGCTTAAAATAAACTTAAACAACCCGACATACCTACTACATTTTGACTAAATCATCAACA